GCCCATCTAGAACGTGTCTACTCTGGGTGCTTTATATATAATACAAAATTCTCATTCATTGTAGATAGGGATTGGGAAATCTATCTGCTACACATTTCTTCATGATTGAATTGATTAGACAATCTTGAGCGAAAACAAAGTGCAACCCTTGGACAAATCTGTCAGTTTCATTTTTATTCTTATTGAGATTCTGTGAATTTTTGTGCATTGTGAATGGTAACAAAGTTCTCACCCATTCCAATTTCTGGCCAGCATTTCTTCTATTGCAGCAACATACTACTAACTGAATTCCTTAAAAAAAAACACAACCAAAATACCGACTAAACCTCTCTGATTTATGAATGTGCTTTTGTATCCATGATTCAAAATGCTTAGAAATAGCTTGATATCGCTACATGCCTTTGTTGCCAGCAAGAAGAAGGATGCCAAGCTTTACATAGAAAAAGGAGAGCCTGAATGTTGACAACAATAGCGGCAGCAGTCAAGATGGTCTACAGGATACCTTCTTGTGCTCATTACTAGAGATGGGGGTATTCATATTTGTATATGAATATGAATATCCCGGTGCAACTGGACTTAAAAAGGGTCTGACCCTGGGGCCGGACCATCCATTCATGCGTTCGGCAGCAGTTTCAGCCTTGTTCATCCTTCCAATCACTCCTGGAATGCTGCTCTCTTCCCGCTCAGCTGGCCACTCCAGGCGAAGGGGAGGGAAGATGAGTCTCCCTGCAGGGCTGCCAAGTGGCCTACCAAGTGTGAAGAGAGCAGCACTCCGGAAGTGATTGGAAGGATGAGCAAGGCTGCTGCCACTGGCAGACGTGTGAGTGGATGGTCCAGCCTAGGGGCCCTTGTTAAGTCCAGCTGTGTGCAGATATTTGTATTTCTATACAAATACAAATACCACCATCTCTACTCACTACCTTTCACGAAGTGACACCAAGCAGGGAAAAATTCCAGAAACTGACTTCTTTTTTTTTTACCAGCTACTTCTCACCCACACACAAAGCAACTATTAGGGCTATTTTTCAATAAATGTGAATCTCCCCCAAAGATTTCCATCTCCTCACAGCACAAACATGAGCTCTTCCACCCTAAGTGGTGGAAAAATGTCTCTTAACTCGGAATCTTTCCTGGCAGTCATTTCCTATGCCCCCTACAAAATAACAAACTGTATCGCTTCTTTTACATCCAATAGTCTAAAAAACAACAGCAACAAAAAACAACTGCTCCAAAACAAAACCATTTCCTAAGAACTGTTCAGAACCACACAACAAAATCAAGAATTGATCCCACTGCTACCACCATGTCACAATATCAGGTTAAGCTCTCTCTAATAGCCACTCATCCACAATACCCTTTTTTTGTCTTGAGATGGAGAATTAAAGGAAAATGTAAGGGAGAGGTTCTATCAAACTTTATCAGTAACTGCTCCTTCACTCTCAGCACTCAGCTTTCTCTAGGCTGTTGGTACTTCTAGGGAGCTTAACTCAAACAGTGGTACTGCCACTGCCACCCTTTACCAGATAGTCAGTAGCATAACAAGGCAGGACACTGCATTCAGTACCTTGAATCCTCTGTGTCCCAAAATCCAATCAACAGCTGGAGAGGAATTTTATGTATTTTATTTAAAAGAAAAGAACAAATCAGTTAAAATAGCAAAACAATGTGAAAATCCCACTCAGTTACTCAAAATGAGTTTCTCAGTAGAATTCAGCCAAATACTTGTAAAAATTCAAGACAATTCCAAAGTTCACAACAGAACATAAGAACATCTATCTACCCTATTCTATACTCAGACTAATAGAGTAGACTACAGTGGTTTAGGCCGATTTACAATATTTTTTAGCCGCACCACTACAGTGGCTTAGGCCAACTCATGAGTTGCAGGGAGGCAGATGGCCCCTCCCTCAATGGCCATTTTGGGCAGCATGCTGCCAGTAACAATTAATTACCTTTAATTCTTGATAATCCCTTTAATCTATTATCAAGACAATGGGTAACATTCTCAACTTTCTCCTTCCTAAATCTAACATTTGCATCTTCTTGAGGCACAGGAGGGAACTCCTGATCCCAAATATACATAAGAGAGAATGCTTTGATATGTAGAGAATATGAAAGCATTAGCCAAGTCCAATTTGAAGTATTTCTAATGGCAGATAACATAGGAATGTAAACTTCTTCTTTGAGGAGTTTTGGATAGGAAGGCAAGGCACAATTTTTTCTTTCACATGCTGACTTTTCCATTTGTCCTTCCAGCTTGCCTTGGTTGATAAGGTTAATGACTGATAAAAACAATATTTTTCATATTTCCATTATCCCCAGTACTTGATCCCTTTGCAATAGGTCACATAAATGTTATATGTTATACTGCATTGAGAATTTGAGTATTATATTCATTATATTGTCCATTTCTGTGGTGTATATATTTTATGTTTTATTTTGTTGTAAACTGTTTTGAAATGTTCAAATCTAAGTGGCTTATAAATACCTATAAATTATTGTTGTTAATAATTATAATGCCTTCTTGCGTGGATACCCTAAACGTGAGGTTTAACTGTGTCAGAGAAGATGAGAGCAACAAAAAAGAAAAAAAGGGAAAAAACAAAAAGAAAAAACAAAAAGAAAAAACAAAAGAAAAAACAAAGAAAAGTAAAAAAAAGACTTGGAACAGCAGCTATGAAGGAACTAGAATAGATTCTTAAATACACGTGAGTGTCACTAGAGATCAAAGCCAAGAACCTCCATATTAAGATATTACCAATTATTATTATTTATTTAACATATTTTTACCCCACCTTTTTCCTTAAAAAGGACTCAAGGCAGCTTACATAATTAAAAAGACATTTAAATACTAAAACAGTAAGTATACAAAATATTAAAAAGAACTAAACAAATATTGTATTTAAAACAGTAAATAAAATCAATAGTAAAAACACATTTGAAGCAATAAGGCATAACATTTTAAAAAAATTACTTCAGCAGCCAGTCATTAAGGGAAAGGCTGCCTGAAGAGAAAGGTCTTCACAAGCGTGCAGAAGGTCAGCAAAGATGGGGCCAGTCTGGCCTGCAGAAGGCAGCTAGGAAAGGCAAAGACTTCACATAAGATGGGTTGATTCAGTAAAGGAAGTCGCAGTTTTTACTTTGCAAGAGATGAGAAGGATCCTTGACCCAGTCATTTGGACCCAGTTCAAGAAGGGTGATTTACTGAACCACTAGTATATTAACATTTATTAAGTGGAAAATCACTAAGAAGACCTAAGATATTCATATTTGACTTTTTAAAAAGAGAATACATATATAAAAAAAACAGGGATTGGTGAGGAGGAGAGTGGCAGAGAAAGTCAAGAGGGCCAAGTTTCTCCAAAATGTTTAGGGGTTACTTACAACACAGCAGCCTAAATCCTGCTAATGATGTCTGCTGGTGCAACTTTCAGCAGTGAATTGCTGTGAATTAGGAAGTGCATGTAGACATTTCCTGCGATACATCAATCACACAACTCAGTGAGCAACAAAAGGGCCTACTTTGACTTCTTAAGCAACCATAATTTGTAACAAAATCTTAGTCACCAGTTTGGCCAGCAAGCAGCATCAAGGTGGCTATTAAAAAAATAGATGACTTCCCTCAGGTCGTACCCAACAGAGAGAATAAAGAGGAGCACGAAACTGCACACATACAAAAATCAAGCAGCAACATTTTCGGGGGAGGATTTTGAAGGCCATGTTGCTAATAATTTTAAGTGTTGAACTACTAGATAACAAAGGAGATAAACATCAGTCCCCAAACTTATCTTAAGTGCCCCCCACATTTTATCAGTGGTGTGTCTTCAGGGCCATGCAGTGTGGCAGGCACCATCTTGCTTGCACTCCTTCCTCTCAGGTCTCAACATGTTGTGGTGAACTGCTCCCACCCTAGATTCTAAATTGGCCAGCAAGAATGGCTGATGGGCAAGACTGGAGGTATTGGGATGTCACATCTGGACTTCTGTTTTCTTTTTTTTAACTGTTGCTGTCCACCCCCAGTTCTCTTCACCTTGGACTTTCTCCCACCCATCTTTTATTTGGAATTTTTAAAGTGTTGATTAACAAGTAGATACTGGAGAATATGTAGTCAATAAAGAGTTAAGCATATGTTCTTGAGATTCGCTTCATGGGTGGTGGTGGTTAGAAGCATGGGAATAGATCCAGGTAGTGGTGGTTGGGTGCTATAGGTGCAGAATGCCCTTTGGGGCTGAGCCCCTTTATGGGGCAGGGGGCATGGAGGTCTTGTACACATGCAGCTTGGAGGCTGTTGAGCACTGTTGCTCCCTGGGGGACAGGTAGAGTCACAAAGTGGCTTATGTCAAAGTGGTTAACCCTGTCTCTGTCTCCCTAGTCTGCACCCAGGATCGGTGGCTGATGGGGATCTGTGCTTTATGCTAGAACCAGGGGCTATTGGAGCTGTAACCAATAAAGTTGTGACCAACTTTTATACCGAAACAGGCTGTGTGTATGGCTATTTGCTCTCCAGCCCCAGGACCATCATCAGGCTTACTGACAAAGGAGAAGCAAAGGAAGATAGCAAGACTTCAGAGAAACTAAACGACTTCTTTACTGCTATCTTAAAAGATGGATGGTAGATAAACTCTTCCTAAACTAATGTTCTGAGGAAGCAGATCTGGGGAGCTGAAGCAAATAACGGTGACAAGAGATGAGGTTTTAGACCTTACTGACAAGTACCCATCTATGAATTCCAAAAGAACTCAAATGTGAGGCTGCTAATCTTCTTTCCTATGGTATAGTCCTTAAGATCAGCCTCTGTTCTGGAAGACTGGAAAGGAGTCAGCATACTACAATTAAAAAAAAAAGATATCCAGAAGGATCCAGGAAAATACAGGCCAGTTAGCTTGATTTCTGTCCTGAGTAAACTGGTGGACAAACCTATTACAGATAAAGTTATCAAGCATTTAGAACAGGAACGGGCAAAGTACATCTGTGCAGCGTTTGCCACAAGGGGAAGGGAATGTTGGACCTACTTTGGCCTTTGGCCTGCTCTAGCAACATTGTTTTCATGTTCCTACAAACTGTACATAGCTATTGCTTGACATTTTTAGATTTTCAGCTCATTTCCATTTAGGAAATACAATTATTCCTGCCAAGTCACAGACATAGTGGTTGCTAATGTTAGGCAAATCTAACTTACATAATTCAGAGTGAAATAATCAAAGTGGCGTCAGATTTCAGGTACAGTATGTGTGTGCATGTGTGGGTGGGTGTTTGCATCCAAGAGTTTTTTTTTTAATAAAAAGCAAATCTTAGCTGGCAGAATCCTTTTTCTTTTCCCCCACCCCACCCCAAGCCATTACTCTGGTTTCATCAATTATGCTAACCTTACTTTGTTGCTTCTCACATGTTATTGTGCAAGACTGCCAGCCAGATTTTTGAAAATCTGCAAAAAGTTAATGTTTAATAGCCCACACCGGAGTGTTGTTTGATGTTTACACTCCTTTGACTAACCTAATTTGTAGAAGGAATTGAAGTTATATAAGACCCTGGGCTGGCAAATGAATTACTGCTAACTGTTGCCCAGAAACCATCATCTTATTTAGCCCAACATGCTTTGGAATAAACCGTTTCAATTTTGTATTCTTTTTTTCCTCACTGACAGGCAGTATTAACACCTACCCAAGCTGCTTCCAACACCTATTCTTGTTTGGATTGTGGTTGTTCCACCTTGGTGCTCAAGCATCTTCTGCGAGGGCCCAAGCCTCCGGGTTCAAAGAAAGTTGCACATTCTCTCTAAGCTGATGACAAGTTTGCGGCAAGTAATCTAATAAACTGGGTTGACCTGAAACCAAAAATAATGGTCTAAAGGGAAGAGAGAAGGTTAAAAGGTCAATAACAGGTATTTTAAAGCGCCTCTTCCCATAAAATAGTTGGGTGTATCTACAACTCTTTTTTTTTTTGAGGGGGAAAAAATAACAGCTGAAAGAATATTTACCATGTTTATTTTAAGGAGCCAAGCCATAAAACCAGACAATTATGTTTTCATTTTGTGTTAATTATAATGAATTCTACCCACACATATTGAATGTAGCTACTGCAGAAGTAGGAAGGTGAGTAGCAAGTGGGCTTATAACACAGTATAAACCTCTTAGTTGACTTGAAAATTAAATTCAGGTTAAATTGGGGTGGGTGGGTTAATAGTTAAATTGGTGCTAAATTGCTCTTTAAGTGTAAGTTACATGACTACTGCCCACCTTTTAAGGAGCAGAAATATCCCATTCATGATTTCACTTCCTGTTTTTCCTCGAAGGCAGAACTACATGGCTCTGTACTGTATCCCCACAATGTGCAAAAATATGCGCAAAGGTGTATTTGAAGCAAAAGAAAACAAACTGATTCTTCATCAGGTCACCTGAGTGCCACTATATATGGGAGGCATTTTAATATAAAGACAAATTTCTGTGAGAGAGCTTAAGAAACCAGAATTAACCTAGGGCAGTGATAGCAAACCTTTTTGAGCCCAAGTGCCCAAACTGCAACACAAAATCAAGCACAACCGTCTGGAAGAGTCCCACTCCTCCACTTGCACAACCTCCAGCGCCTGCCTGGGACTCTCCCCACTCTGCCTCTGGCTGCAGTCCTTAAAGGTGCAGGCAGCGGGAGCCGGGTGTTTCCATGCCTCTTGTCCAGGTGTGTGTGTTTGTGTGGCAGTGGAGGCGGCCATTGCCATCTTGGCTCTCCCTCCCTTCTCAAGAGTTCTTCCCAAAATCCAGGATTCGAGGATGGGTATTTCTCAATGGCAATTTATGGCTCAAGTGCCCACAGAGGGGGCCCTGCATGCCACACGTGCCATAGCTTCGCCATCACTGACCTAGGGGTATGATTCCAGAATTTTACAGAGATCTAATCCTGGGACTTGAGTTCTTTATAATTTGTATGTAAGTCAATAAAACATGACTGATATAGCCACAGAACAGAACAGAATTCAAAAGAACTGTGTTTTGGGGGTATTTTGTGCAGAGGGACTGTAATCTGAAAGACATTTTCACTACAATCTTGTATTGGAGTAAGTCCCATTTGATGTAATGCTGAAACTCTTGTATTGGAGTAAGTCCCATTTGATGCAATGCTGAAACCTTGTTGCTTAGCATAATATGTTGCACTAGAGCAGGCCCACTGGATCCTTAAGGATTTAATGAGCCATCTTCTCCATAAGTTCCATTGATTCAAATGGGCTTACTCTAGTGCCATTTACCACACTCAGCAACAGGATATCAGCCAATGGGACATAATTCTGAGTGAATACATACAGGACAATGGACAACACAGTAGAAGAGCAAAACATAGTTCAAGTTTTTCAAACTTTCATTTCTGCAGCATGCAAAAATTACAGTTAATGACTGCAAGAAATACTGACGCTGCTGTAGGACTGAAACAACACAGTATTCAGCCTGTTTCTGTTTGATGCCTCTCTGGGTTAAAACACAACTCTTCCAAACACAGAAATAGTGCAGAAAACTGAATTACAGTTAAATAAAAAGCAACCCATTTTATTAGAGATAATGATGATGATACCATCTTAGAACTACAGAGCTGAAAGGGACTCTATGGATCAATTATGCTTCTTCGTTTCGATTGATCATGTATGCTATCAAATTATCAATTACACATCTTGTTTGCTATTCCAAGTCCATTAAAAGATTGTTACAGATAACAAAAAATAGCCCCGATGAAAGATGAAGTACATTTTCAGGGACATAACAAAGCAAAACTATTAAATGAACTGCTGGCTAGCTCAGAGGTTTAGGTAGAGGTTGAGAGTTCAATTCCCCACTGGGCCTCCTTGCCAGGGGCTGGACTTGATGATCCATAGGGTCCCTTTCAGCTCTGCAGTTCTAAGATGGTGTTGTTCCTCTAAATGGATACATAAAAACCTAAATAAATCAAAACGGGGACATAATGGGTTAATATATAATTTAATTCTCCTCTGCAAGAAAACAGCAAGCATTGTTTTGGGAGTTTGTTTCCAGACATTACCTCCTCCTCCCATAAACAGAAGAAGAATGTTAAGTTCTGTGTTTTGCAATATCGCTTATTTTGGGCTCATTTTTAATATGCTTTCAACCAACTCTTGATCTGCTGCATCAGTGCGTAAACCAAAGAACAAAATGTTACCAGTGTTAGAGCGTGTTTCTAAAGGAACACATCAGCTTAGCACCGCTTCTTAATTCTCTAAAGTCCTCCTCCTCACATTTGATTACTTTGATATCTGAAACTATGTCCTTGCCCTTTAAATATGTAAGAAATAAAAGAAACAAAAACAAAAACAAAAAAACAGAAGGGGGGGGAAGGAAAGGGAGCCAATGTGATCTTTTGTTACATGCAGCTCTTGTACTTTAGCAGAAATGCTACACTGCAGATTTTTACAATTAACATTCCTGCCATGTACGCAACTCTGGATGAAGCTAATAAATTCTTTGAAGCACACAATCAGCTTATTTTTTAAAAAATCATTTCATGTCAGTAATGGGTTGTAACATTCTTCCGTGCCCCCTTCACTTCCTACTCAAAATTAAGATCTTATCAAGCCCCTCCTCCCACCCCATAAATAATTTTAGGGACAGCGTCCTGGTAAGACATTAATTTTAGACTGCAAGAAACATCAAGTACAGAGTTTTAGTTTGGATACGCGAGAAGCCTATTGTAATGTTACCTTTTCCTCCACCCCTAAATTAAGCGGTGGGGAGAGTTGAAACAGCCCTTTATGACAAATGCTAAAGTGAGTGAAAATGCTATGAATATACATTAGGGGGAAAAGATTATTCATGTTTTAATGCTTATTATGCACAGTGGTTTAACATTTTGTGCCTAATAATAGGTGACTCCTATCACATTTCGAACTTTCATGTCTACCATCTTTGAAGTCCAGCCATATAAAGTCTGTTTGTAGAACCACAGGAAAGTTAAAGCAAATACGACTTTAGAGTGATTCATGGGGACAGGAATTTGCAGTGCAGTCTGTGGGGGAGGGGGGAGGAGAAGGAAAAGCAGGCCCTCGTGTTTGTATCAAAGGAAATGAAATGTTCACAATATTTTCCAGTTGATAAATTTATTAAAGCATTTCAGAGTTATGTAGCTTGAACATTGCTGACATAAACAATCTTTGACCTGAATCAGATCACATTACACTCTGCGGGGGGAAGAAGAATTAGAATGAAGTAGAGAAATTAGAATCCCGAGATTTCAAAAATTGCTCATGGTGACCCATACTTAACGGAATATATGGCAGAGTGAAAATTATTAAAAGTTAAGAACTGCGATTGTGTGTTTATTCTTTTGTGTTTCAAAAATTTCCCACCCTCTGGGCATTCTGTTCCCTGACCTTGCTGCCAGAGAATCCTACTCTCTTACGGGGTGTGTGTGTTCAGGGCACTCTCTCAAGATAGGATAGTCTGTGGATCTATGTGGGTTTCACTATAATTCTTTATCAGTGATTCCTAAACTTCGGGCCCCAGCTCTTCTCGGACTACAACTCCCAAAGCTCTGGCCATTGGCTGGGGAGACTTGGGCTTCTGGGAGTTGTAGTCTGAGATCCTTTCAGGCCCTAGTTTGGAGACCACTGCTCCGTAAGAATAGACCACTGGTTCTTAAACTTGGGTTACTCAGGAGTTTTGGACTGCAACTCCCAGAAGCCTTCACCACCAACTGTGCTGGCTGGGGTTTCTGGGAGTTGCAGTTCAAAAACATCCAAGTAAGAACCACTGGAATAGACTACAGTATATTGTCTGGGACACAACACATGTTCTGCAGTTGCATGTTGAAGGGGAGGGCTGGGGATGCAAGCTGTCTGCAATTTCTAATATTCTTTTTGAGGAACCTGAGGAAATCACCAGTTTAAACCACTCTCCCCAAATTTTTGGAGCAAATGAATTACTTTCTCTACAAATACAGGGCTACCTTATTAAAAAAAAAAAAACCCTCCCCATCCCCACCTCAGCCCTGCTTGTCCATGGTTGCAAAAGAAATTAATTTGTGGCTGGTTGCTACACAATTGGCAGGCTTTCTGCTTCAAGAATGTAAGCAATCGTTCTTTGCTTTCCAGATATAGTTAATCTGGCAGTTAAAATACTTTGGAAACATTTTGATGACTTATCTGGAAAAGTCGCTTTGGCATTTTTCAAAAGAAAAGCTTAGCCCTGTACACAGAGGGAAGATAAAAGATACAAGAAGTGTTTGTTTTAAGTGATAGTATTCATTTAGAGATCATAATGTAACCCCACCCAAGCAATTATTGTGAACAGAAAAAAAAGGAGAAAGAGACTGAGAGAGAGAAATCTCAGCACACTCTGGGAAACAAAACTATATTCAGTCCTTTACTGCTATAGTTTAGTGGATTGTGAGCTGTTTTTATTAGAGTTAGCTGAATTCTGTTTTGCATAAAAAAGGAGGCCTGTTTGACATCAAGAACACATTTCCATTAATACGACTTTGACAAAGTAAAATAAAATCGCATTAAGATGATGTAAGTAGATACAACAATGAAATCTCTGTAAGATAACTTTGGCTCAGTAATTTACAGTCAAGTTTGTACAGGAAGGAAAGCAAGAAGAATTTTACACGGAGGCTTCTTGTGTTTTGAAACTCTTTTTTTTTTTAATAAAAAAGGCACTGCAATGAAATCTTTTGTCCACAAGTATTTGAAAGGGGGAGGTGCTGGTGGGGAGGGGAGAGAACAAATCATAGAAAGATTTTTTTTGAAAACATAATTTAATTCTTTTGTTTGTTTGCATGTTGGATGCAGGGGGGATTAGAATGATATTTTTGCAATAGCACAAACAAGTTTTGTTCTCTGGCCTAGCCTATAATCATCATGATTGTTTCAGGGGACTTTCCAGTTCTGAGCAGCTGACAACAAGGTTTTAGATTACATGGCAATTTAGGAATGCATGGAAACCAAGCAGTTAATATAACAGAGTGTGGCCCTAAACAGGTTTAACCTTTAGAGCAAAACAAAAAATAATTTCCAAGAAAAAATTTAGTCACTGGAGTCAATCTACACAATTGTGCTTTGTGTAGATACATTTATTTAAGCTTTCAGTATCTATCTATCTATCTATCTATCTATCTATCTATCTATCTATCTATCTATCTATCTATCTATCTATCTATCTATCTATCTATCTATCTATCTATGTTCTTTGATGTCTTTCTGTTAGATTAGTCATTAAAAAGAAGGCATTCATGGATCTTGATAATACTGTGGAATTTATGACTAATCAGGCCTTGGCAGCTACAATATTTTCTTTTGTAGTGAAACGGTAATTTTTTTTTTTTGCCTTATATAAACTCCCCCCCTTGAAAACTGTGTTACACAAGCTACTTATTAAGTATTATAAAAGGCTTATTATACAAAGTTAGCACTTTTGCTTAACATCTGACCAAATAAGGCAACATGATTTTCTCCAGTGGGCATGATCTACTCAGCACACCAAGTTTTCATGTTTTAGGCTGCATTCCTATATATACTGAACAAAACAGAACTTCTGAATGGACACACATAGGATTACTCTGTGATTCAGTAGATTAATCATCTTGGGTTGATTAATGTGTGCAGGAGGGCTGATGGATGTGAGTGAGTGAGTATGCTTACACATGCAGTCTAATCTGATGCAGTTGCAGTTTAAGGACACATATCTTTCCTTTTGGACACTATTTGGGCTCTCAAGCAAAGCCATAAAGATCTAATTTTGCACCTAAGGCAGGACTATAAGATCGTGCCCCTACTCTTTGCTGCACACAGAAGAGATCTGAAGGACTTGGGGAGCAGGCAGTGCAAAACCACCAAGGTACCAGATGCTACCAGCCAAATCTAAAATTTGCAATACTTGCATGAGTTTATAAGACCTATCCCATTGTTCCTGTAAGCTTACCATGGTTAGAGTGAAGTAAACAGTCTCTTGGGGTATAGAGAAAACAAGGCATCTGCAGGGTGAGTGGGACCATTTCCCATGCAGACATTGTGTAGACAGTGATTGCAGAAAGGGGGTGGCTAGCTGAGCCTCTCAAGGAGGGGAGAGTTTAGCCAGTAGGGAACAGCTGGACAAGGCTTGCACAATCTCCCCTTGTATTAATTGCATGGTATGGTTGCAACAGTAGGGGTACATTTATTTATTTTTGGAACCTCTCAGCTTGGCATGCCTAAGGCAAATGCCCCACTAGCCTCACCCTTTTTACAGCTCTGCTCTTGAGTATTAATAATAGAAAATGAGATAAAAAAAGATGATCTAATGACGAGAGTGTTTGCTTATTCAGCTCCACACCATTGTTGTGCTTTTATTACATTAATATACCGTCTTTGTTCCAAGGAGCTCAGTAGCCCCCCCATTTTATCCTCACAACATTCCTAATCAAGTTTATTGATGAGATGAGTGACTGGTGGAAGTGATCTCCATGACTGAATGAGAATTTCAACTTGTATCTGCCCAGTTCTAGTGGAGCATTCTGACCACTCTATCGCATTGTATCTTGACATATCAATATCACACCAAGCTATGCTGTGCCATTCTATATATATAAGAAATGACAGTTTCTTGCCCAAGAGATATTAAAAATGTAAATGTTGGCATTCAGGAAGGCAAGAGGACACAGAAGAAGGATCAGTTAGTAGAACAATATTTTGACTTCATTTGACTTCCACTTTAGCATCTCAAAAAGCCCCATATAGAGAAGTTTGGGCAACGACCACATTTAAAATTAATTCATCAGTTGTATGGCAGATGTTTGTGACTCAACTACAAGTTCTTTGATCACTGGATAGTCCTGCATATAATGTATTGGTGCAGCTTATTTTAAATAAACACAATTTAAATAATTACTCGTCTAGCTATGCCCTGAAACAAACGCTAAATTTAGAGAAGAACCTGAGCGGAGTGGATTAGTCTCCTGGCGTCTTTGATGTGTCATACTTTGGGGCCCTTGGCAGTCAAAAAAGAGGGTGCAGCAGAATTTTCAGCTTTCCGAACCTTTGATGCATTGTTAGTGAAGTTGCGACAACAAACAGCAGGTGTCTCTATTTGGCTGAGCTAAAGCTTTCAAGAAGGGCCAATATAGGGGAGAGGTTTAGGTAACCCTCAACGCCTTTTGTTCCTGCATCTCAACGGTTTTTCCACAATTGTATAAACAAAGGTGACAATGATGTGGTGTTGGATAAGTTGATGCCAACCTCTTTCTATATTATTTCCCTGAAGGTATGCACATTCGTCAAAATTGAATGAGAGGGCTAGCAAAACAAAAGCAAAGCAGTATGAAGTGAAATACTATACTTCCTTTAAAACGTTTGCAACCGCTGCACAATAGCAAGCGAGAATTACACGGCCCCTTCCGAATAATCATATGGTACAGTCCCGTAGGGCATATACCGCATGATTGCTGGTGGGAAGTTTGCATATTTCTCCCTGTAATTCTGCTCCCTTGGAGGAATGTAGCACACCAGGGAGAGAGCTCCTGGAGATCTTTTCCCCTTGGTGTATTAGCCTAGAACATTTTAAACAAACCATCTCCTACTTTGGAACCTGAAATAATGCTATCCAAATAAGTTGTACAAGAGGGCTGTTTGGAGTAGACTGAAATCTCAGAAATTACCCTTAGGAAGTACAGTGGACCCTTGACTTACAGACGGCTTGACTTACAGACTGTTTGAGTTACAGACTTCTCTGGCCGCAAAATTTAGGTTTGACTTGCAGGCTGAGATTTGACTTACAGACCAGAAGAAAACCAAAATGGAACAAAAACGGCCTGTTATGGGATTAATCGGTTTCAATGCACTGTAGGTCAATGGAGACTTGACTTACAGACTTTTTGACTTGAGAACCGCCTTCCAATACGGATTAAGTTCTCAAGTCAAGACCCCACTGTAAATCTGGGGATGAATCTGTGTAAAGATCAGTCACCCTCTGGAACGGATTTTGCCATAGTTCAAGTTCTGTCTGTGGTAAGTTGCCCGTCATCCAGAGTGTGGATGCTGACCACCCATGTTGAAAATTGGCAGTGATTTTCCCTCCCTCATATTTCCCTCTTTGGCTCAATAAATACAGTGAGAGGTGAGCATACTGCCACTTGTTTACATAGGAACAGAGTCAGCTGCCTTATCTTGAGTCAGATCACTGGTCCAGACAGTGAGGTCCAACTTGGAGGAACTCTCTGGGAGGTTGAGAGAGGAGTCTTGATCAGGATTCTAGAACTCTTGGTCCTTTGTTGGGTACTCTGTTGTGAAGCAACAGCCTTTCCTGTCAAGAAGGGAAATACTCCAGCAGTGTGGATGCACCACACTGTCATGTATGAATGTCAGGCCTAAATCTATATTGGCCTTGTCATTTCCACATTCATCTAGCACTTAGCTGGCATTCAATAAATGCTCTCAGATATTAACGCTAGGTGTAGATTCAACAGAGGATATGCTTAACTGACTTGCTGAAATCATGGGGATCTTTACCTTTTGCTAGACCTGATGTGGGCAAAGTGCAGTCCTCCAGATGTTGTTGGTCTGCAACTCCTATCAGTCTTAGCAACAATTGCTGATGGGGAGGGCAACACATTGTTGTGGCCCAACAACATCTGGATGGCTGCTCTTTGCCCATTCCGGACCAGATCATGCCCCTTCTCTGTATTTAATCACATACGGTAGGTAGTGTGGTTGATAAACATACCATTGTAAGATATGATGCTAGTGATGATGGTGATGCTGATGATGGCAGCTTAAAATCAGTGGCATAGGGAGGGTTAACCACTAGCCTGATGAAACATCCCAGCCCTCTGGATCAGGTTCTGCAAGGGCACGATGGGGCTGCAGTGGGGAGACAGAGGATTGCTACTTTTTCCTGGTGTCACAACTGGAAGGTCTATTGGCAGACCTACCCCTCTGGTTTCTGGCTAATAATAATAATAGGCTAAATCCAATTGTTAGTCCCAAGTTGACAAGAACCATTGAATCAACAGCATTAGCATAAGTGTTGCTTTAACAACTCCCACTCATTCATTGGACCTATTCTACTTGAAACGGAGAGTCATATTTGATCCAATAATAATAACCCCCAATATTTATACAATATCAAATAAAAACATCAGAAATACAGTGGTGCCTCGCTTAGCGATGCTAATTCGTTCCAAAAAAATCGCTGCTAAGCAATTTCATCGCTAAGCGAAACACGGTTTCCCATTGAAATGCATTGGAAACCGAATAATCTGTTCCAATAGGAACGAAAATCACCATAGGAAACATCGCTAAGCGAAACGCGGTTCCCCAGTTCAAATGCATTGAAACCTATTCAATGCATCTCAATGGGGAAAAAATACAACAACAAATTAAAAAAAGTTAGAACAAAGTCAAATTTGGTTAACAAA